AAGAATGTGACCCTCAGTGATCACGCCTATTGGCCTCGATCTGTCCTGGTCTCCGCGGCTGCGTGGGCACCTGGGCTCCTGGGCTCCTGCTCAGACCAGACCCTGGGCGCGCGGGCCAGGGCTAAGCCAGGACCTGGCGCAGGGGAGGGCGGAACGGGCCCCTGCAGCCAGCTTGTGCCTAGGCGGCAAGTGACACTGGGAGCTACACGCCCACTTCCCGCCTCTAGGGGGGCACTGTGTGGATGTTTGGTTCAGGTTCGCTCTTTTGCCTCCAGAGAAAACAAAGGTGGTTTTTGCCGTTTTCCCAAACATCCAAGGCGGGAGGGCTGGGGTAGGGGCGGGAAGGATGTTATGCTCCACCTGTGCGCCTAGGTCGCCAGAAGCTCTAAGGAGCCTGCAGAACTCGACACCAAGGCAAGCTGGCTTCCAAAAAGGCTTGCGCAAAACTGGGCTGAATGGTGTCCTTATTTATTTATTTTTATTTAAATCTTCTTTAAAATCGGTTACCGCGCTCGGCACGGCTCACCATTTATAAACCGAACTGAAGACTGGGAGCCATTACCCATTTATTATTCGGGCAAAACCAAAACCTCAGCCCCGAAACAATTTGGCTTAAAATATTCACATCTTGAAGACAAATATATCTTTAAGGGTGCATTTGTTTCCAGTGTTGCAGCCTGAGAATCGATGTCAGACTTTTTGTTTTTGTTTTTGTTTTAATGGGTAATAACTGGAGTTCCCTAATGCACGCGGCGTCTCCCTTGGTTCTGGGCTCTCCGAGCTCCCAAGCCCTGCCCCCGCCGCCACCTCAGGTCTCACCACCGCTATCTCCTTAACGCTCTTTCCACCACCTGACCCAGCCGTACGGACAGCCTAGTCTCGATTCGCCCCTAAACTTACGGGATGCAGGACTCCCCTGTGACACCCTCCTCCCCAGGGGGCTGTGATGGGAGTGGGGAGTGCTTGGGGAGGATGGAGAGCAAAGCCAGAAGCCGGTCCAAGCCTGCCGAGCTCTCAGAGAAGGAAAGGGAACAACGACGCACGTTTCGCAATCAAAATGCATCCTTTCTACGCTTCGAAAATGAAACCTAAAATCCCAGCAGCTGTTTTACTGGTTGAAGAGACTACATACAACAGCCCTGTCTGACCTCCCTGCATTCTCTAGGCCGACTCCTCTTGCAGTCCCCAAAAGTTACCGCAACTTTAAAGGACTCACGCCGAGGAGACCAGGGGCTGCCGGGGGCTGCCGGGGGCTGGGTAAGGCCTCCTGGACTCCTCGAAAGCAGCTCGCACGGGAGGGGCCGGATGCGGGGCGCCAACAACGCAGATGGGGCGGGTTCGGGTGGGGGACTTCAAAGAGAAAGTGCCGGGATCGAACACTGAGGCAGAAGGGACCGACCCCAGAGAGCTGAACTGAAGTGTGGGAGCTGGAGGCGGTCGGGCGGGCGGGGTCGGTAGAGGTGCAGGGGCGGTCAGTACTGGCTTCAGCCACCGCCTTTTCCCCCCCTGAGGGAGCTGCTCCGCTCCCGGGAGGAGTCTTCGCACTCCCTGGACTTCCTGTCTGAGACGACGAGGATCCCCCTAGGGGATTCCTGGGGAAGGCGCTATCTTCCCGGCGCTCACCAGGCGCGGAGAGCCCACCTCCTGCCCCACCTCGCCAACCCCGGTCGCACACACTCTCAAATCTCCAGTGTGAGGCCGGGGCTCTCCCAAGGGACCTTTGCCACCACGCATCAAACTTTTTTCTCTCCCCAAGTGCGAGAACCCCCACTTCCCCCCTTCCACACTCCCCCCCCTCCTTCTCTCCCATTCCGTCTCTCTCTGGGTTTCTCTCTGTCTCTCTCTCTGTCTCGCTTTAGCCTGAGAGTCCTACTCCTCCCGGTGCAAAGCCTCCGGCCTCAAGCTCGGGGGTGCGCCGTTCGCGGTACCCTTGGCCCCCAGCTCGCCGCCGGGCAGCCCCGAGAAACACCTCGGTAGCCCCTCGGCCCGGTCCCGGCTCCCTATTGGCCCCCGGTCCCCTCCCCCCCACACGGCCCCCTCCCCCTTCCGCGGCCCAGAGTGGCGTCAGCACGCCTCCCAGGCGTGGGGTTTAAATGCCCACTAGCGGGAGCACCGGCGCTTCTGTCCCGGAGCAGCGTCCGGGTTGAAATTGCCGGGTGGGAGGGGAGCCTGCGAGCGAGCGGGATCCCGAGCCGCGGAGCGCGCTGCCCACCGCTCCGCCCGCAGATGACTCGGGAGCTCGAGCCCAAGCGCCGCCCATGCAGCATCCCTGCGCTCCACCGACCGAGAGTTGATGATAAAATACTTAGCCGTCTCCGCTGCGGGGAGCCATGAGCTGTCTGGATGTTATGTACCAAGTCTATGGTCCTCCCCAGCCTTACTTTGCAGCCGCCTACACCCCCTACCACCAGGTACGTGTCTCCCCCGGGCCGGGACCTCGGAGACGGGTGGCGCGCCCCCCGCTGCCTGGAGCACCGCCTGTACCCCGAGGTCCGGGACGCCTCCGCACAGGTCCGGGGCGTCCTACCAGCGGCGGGAGCCTCGGGGATGCGGCGATTGCCGGCGCTGCCACACGGTCGCTTGAGCTAACCCTTTAGCGTGTCCACTTGCGCTCCCGGGAAAGCAGCTAAGCCCTGTTAATGCGTGCCCCGTCCTTCCGGGGAACAATCAGACAAGGTTCGTGTGAGCTGAATTGCCTCCTTAGAGTCTGTCGGACTCCAGATTCTTCGGTGCGGGGTAAGGGGAGCTGCGATCAACGCTCACGCAGGGAAAACCAAACTTTGGTATCAAAGGTGAGAGTGACAAGAGAACAAAAGTAAAGACCTGCCTGTGCCTCTTTCTGTCTGAAATGCAAAGATCTGGCCACTCATCCCTGCAAGCTTATCTAAGGAGTAACTTTATTCCGTTTAAATTCTCAAGGGATCAGGCCAATTAATTCCGGGACCAGAGAATTCGTTACAAAGAGAACTGCGCAAAAGCATGGGTTTTATCATCTTTGCTCTGCAAAGTTCTGGGGATTATTATTGGGGTGCAGTTGACCTGGCAGAGGAGGGCTTCAAAGATAATATTCTTTTCGCTTTTCTTGAGGCTGAGTAGCTGCATCAGGCTGTCCTGCTCTCCACAGGACAGTGGTTACCTGTAAGAAGACCACTTAACCCCAATTGGGCAAACTCTTGAAGTTTCCTTTAATTATTCCATTTTCTCTCTTCTCCGAGCTGAGTCTGGGCGACGAGTTTTTCTTCCCATTTCCTCAGCTAGTGTGGTAAAAACTGAGGACCGTAGTCCAGTAAAAGAGTAAGTTCACACACCCAGGAGGCCGTAGGGGTCCCAAGCAGATTTCAAAGTGAGGGCTTGGACCCCTGCTTCAGAGAGACAGAAGTACATCCGGACCCCCAGTCCAAGTTTTTGCCCATTTTGCTTGCAAATTCGGAACGTCTATTCGAAAATTTCCTGCTGAATTAATGATGGAAGGAGTAGGTTTTGCTTTTTGCTTTTTTCCTTCTACCTCCCCCCTTTTTAAACTTTCCATCCAGGGAGTTTGTTTAGTCTCACAATATTCATTTGGGGAATCCTCAGAGTCCCTCATTATAAGCCAAGCGGGAATGTGGTGAAAGTGGTGATATTGCTAAATAACTACAGTCTTTTGGCTTCAGTGTCTGAGATGGTTCCTTCCCAGGCTGTGACTATTGCAAAGAGGAGAGGTGGGTTGATTTTCTGTCTGCTTGGTCCTTTCTCCCCCCTGGGCCTGGGCCAATAATCTCTTCCATTAAGATCTCCGTTCATCTTTGTATGATCAGCCCGCTTTGAGGCCATCTCTCCCTGCATAAATGCTTTAACACTGCATTCAGTCCATTGCTCACTTCTAAGAAAATATTTCAGCAACCACACTTGGTTTTTAAAATCGCTACCAGACAGCCATAATTCACTCAACCTCACAGCCAAGATCTTCTTCTCTCCCTTTTATTACTTGTTTCCCCAATGTGCATAGAGATGGTGAAAGCAGAAGTGCTCAGGTTTTTCCTCACTCAAAAGAAGACCTCTTTAAAAACTGAGCTAGACTCTTGCGTGGACATTTTATGGGTGACCAAACAAATATCAACTTGCATTTATTTAAATGATTCATGTCAGGATGTCATTCCACGTTTTACCCCACATGATTCCTTCCCAAATAGAACTACCTCATACCTCTTCGCAGTTCTTCATTCACATTCCTGGCTGTGCTGCACAGAGTGGATTTTGGTGTTTTTGTGCTCTATCACAACGATGCTTAAAGTCTTGCATCTTGTGCATCTACCTTGGATTCTTAAGCAGGGGACAATCAGGCCCGAACTGGAATTGGATGCCCTTCACCCTTGGAGCCTGATTTTAAAAATACATCTGCCCTGAGCCTGGCTCTGCGGTCAAACTCCGCCTATATCCTGGCTGCTTAGGCATCTTCTGGGACCTTTACCCTGACACCTTCAGAGAGCTTTCCGTGTGGTCTAGCGGCGATTCTGGGGAGACAGAGACACCAAGAAAGGCAGTCTGCCTGTCAAGAAGCTCGCACAAGTTACTGAGCACAGGGGCTTATGCATGAATGTCAGTTTTCCCCTGGATACCTTAGGGATCTGACCCCAATTTGCCATCTCTTTTGAAGCTGACTCCTCTATTCTTTCTCTCTTTGAGCAGAAACTAGCCTATTACTCCAAAATGCAGGAAGCCCAAGAGTGCAACGCCAGCCCCAGCAACAGCAGCGGCAGCTCCTCCTTTTCCAGCCAAACTCCAGCCAGCATAAAAGAGGAAGAAGGCAGCCCAGAGAAAGAGCGCCCACCAGAGGCAGAGTACATCAACTCCCGCTGCGTCCTCTTCACCTATTTCCAGGGAGACATCAGCTCCGTGGTGGATGAGCACTTCAGCAGAGCCCTGAGCCAGCCTAGCAGCTATTCCCCAAGCTGTACAAGCAGCAAAGCACCCAGGAGCTCGGGGCCCTGGCGGGGTGAGTAAAGGGCCCGCTTCTAGGGGCAAATAGAGAGCCCTCTCAGCCTGGGGCCCAGCCACAGAGGCTCGAGGGAAGGCAGCTGAAGGAATCCTAGGTGTCAGAGGAGTTGAGGATGGGCATGTGGGGAGAGTAAGTAAAAGGAAGGAAGAAAGACCTCTCCTTGCAGAGGCAGAGCAGAGTAGAGCAGCGACCTAGAAAAACCACCAGCCTTGGAATTGGGAGTCCTGGGTTTCGTGCTGGCTCCACCAACTTCCTAGCAACATGACCTTGGGCAAGTCTCTTAACCTCTTTGAGGTCAATCTATTTACTGGTCTCTAAAATTAGAATGATACCTGCCCTCCTAACTATCCCTGGAGATGGCTGTTCAGCAAACAGAAAACTGTGTGTAAATGTGCTGCGGAAATGTGAGGTTTCCAACACTCTCCCCAGCCCTGAGGGAGATCTGCATCTACAACAACTTACAGGGCACTTGTAAGTTCCTGAAAATTTGCCCAGAGAAAAAAGTCTTAGACCCCACTGTCAGCAAAACCTGCTGAAGAATGTCTCCTAAACCGTCCGTATGCTTTTTGCCAGGTTTGAATTCCTTAGGAAATTTTGAAGCAGAAAATGTCTTTCAGAAAGAAAATTAAAGTACCAAAGAAATAAAAATTTAGGTACAGCTGAAACATCTCTAAGGATTTTCGCCAAACACACCCCCCTCTTTATTCTACCCTTCTCACAAAGCACTGCTTTCTCTAGCCTGGGACAATGATTTATTGGACAAGTCAACTAAATCTCCCTTCCATTCTGAAATCTCAATCTCCTTTAACTTCCAGGACAAGGAAACAAACTTTCTCACTAAACTTAATTCTTGATGTGTACCGAGCTGAGAAACGAAGACTTTGCTGTAAAAAGGAACACAAGTATTACATTTTATGGGGAAATGACAACCCCCACTCTCCCTTTTTTTCTTAAGAGTGTTTGACAGTTGGTGCAAGCCTTGCCTAGATAAGATCCCAAATCATGAGTTTTGAACACAGAACATTCTTTTTATTCTCCAGTTGCCTAAATATTTTTAACAGGAAGACAGTTCACCACTTAGAATGCATTTTTAATTTTTAATTCTTTAGAATGTTCTGCAGATGCCTTCCCCAGAGGAGATGCTCAGTACAGGTCCCTAGGATTAAATCTTTCTTTCCCTCCCCTTCCACTAAAGGCAACACATTTGACCTAAATGCTGTTCTCTTAAAAATGCCTCCAGGCACTAGGGGTCAACAGTGATACTGGCAATAATTATTATTATTCCTGGCGTCCACACTTTAACGAACAAATATTATTAATTAAAACGTAAAAGATCTGTCCCTTTGTGTCCCTCTGCAAATAATACAGCTGCCCTTTTAGTAAGTCTAGTTTACTCTTTTGCTTGAGTTCTTGGAAAAAAATATTTGAAAGAAGGTTTCTAGAAAGGAGGCTAATAATAGCAAGACTTCGAAATATGTCGATGGACTTCCAGTCTATCAGAGGCCCTGGAGGGGCACATTTTCTGGAGCTGGGGAGGGTGAAACGCGAGAGGGGGTAGTGAAATCTCTAGGCTGCCGACCAAGAGTGGGAAGAGGTATCTTTAGCTAGGGGAGAGAGAGGCTGCGGGTTGGGAATGGGAGGCCGTGTCTGCCCCGGAGCCGCCGAGGCAGCGCAGCCCGCAGTGGAGGAAGCTCCCAGCGCCCCAAAACTGGAACTGCAGAGGGGAATCTCACCGCTCTGCCTCCCCAGCCTGTTCTGGGGTTTCCGCACTGGAAACGCGTCTGCGAAATCCGAGGAAGCCGCCCTCCTTCCCAAAGAGTTTCTCCCATTTTGCGGTGCCTCGACCTCGAATTCGCAGGGTGCATCCGCCTCCGAAAGACGCCGCCCCCGTGGGCGGGCAGCGGGTCGGCTCCCGGCCGCGGCTCGCCCGCACTTTGCCCGCCTGGCGCGTTCAGCGCTCCCGCTTCCATCTACCTGCGGTGACGCGCTCCTCTCTTCCTTTCCTCCCCTCCGCCTCGCCTGCCTGCAGACGGCTCCTTCCCGATGAGCCAGCGCAGCTTCCCCGCCTCCTTCTGGAACAGCGCGTACCAGGCTCCGGTGCCCGCGCCGCTGGGCAGCCCGCTGGCCACCGCGCACTCGGAGTTGCCCTTCGCCGCCGCCGACCCCTACTCGCCTGCCGCGCTGCACGGCCACCTGCACCAGGGCGCGGCCGAGCCCTGGCACCACGCGCACCCGCACCACGCGCACCCGCACCACCCCTACGCCCTGGGCGGCGCCCTCGGCGCCCAGGCCGCCGCCTACCCGCGGCCCGCCGCCGTGCACGAGGTCTACGCGCCGCACTTCGACCCGCGCTACGGGCCGCTGCTGATGCCGGCAGCCTCGGGGCGCCCGGCCCGCCTCGCGCCCGCGCCGGCGCCCGCGCCCGGCAGCCCGCCCTGCGAGCTCTCCGCCAAGGGCGAGCCGACCGGCGCAGCGTGGGCCGCGCCCGGGGGACCCTTCGCGAGCCCCGCGGGGGACGTGGCCCAGGGTCTGGGACTCAGCGTGGACTCAGGTAAGCGGGAGAGGGACCTTGGCCTCCCCGGACCCCTCCTGCCCTGTGTCCGACCCTGGGTTGAGCCCCGGACCTCCCTTAGTTCTCCTTGGAGACCCCAGTGACCTTGTGGCCCAGGGGTGTGCATGGCAGGGTTGTGCTTCAGTAAACAGATGACCCAGTGTCATCGGTGTGGGCAGAATGAGAAAGTAGGCTTTTTCCCCCCCAAATTAAATTTAAATAAATAAATAAATAATAAATAAATTTGTTGGAAAGGTTCTATAGCTCTGCGCTGTTCAATCCTGTAGCCGCTAGCCACTTGAAAGGTGGCCAGGAGGAACTGGGATGTGCTTACGTGCCTGACACACACTGGATTTCAAAACTGTACCAAAAAAGAATGTGAAATTCATCTCACTGGTATTTTTATGTTGACTGCATGTTGAAATACTTTCGACACGTTGCATATTGAACATACTGGGTTAAATAAAATATATTGCGAAGATTCATTCTCACCTGGTTCTTTTTACTCTTTTTCAATGTGGCTGCTAGAAAATTTAGAATTATGCCTGTGGCCCCCATTGTGTTTTTATTGGACAGCGCTGATCTAGAGGACCTGCTCAGAGTGTAGTTCATAATCTTCTAAAGTTTGGGGGGTGGGTACTGTCTCCTGGTGACAGTTATAAGGAAAGGAAAATATGATTTTGTTATCAACTTAATCGCCAATTAAATAGGTGTCTTAAAATGTAAAACTTAAGGAGAATGTGCTCTTAATGACGATACTGAATTTCCGACTTAAGGAGTTGAATTTGAAAGGTACATTCAAATAAGGGTTTACTCTTCTGCTTGCTTTACTTTTAGGGCATAACCAAAAAAATGGTTATATTATAAATGCAATCATTGGCTTGTAGTCTTGCCCACTCGCCCTTCCTGCAGGTGAAGATTTGACATTTCTGTTTGCTTTGCTTTTACTTTCATTCATGCCCTTTAGATGAATTCTGTGACATTTGCAATAAAACTGTGGCGTTTGTCTTTCTCTTTCCTTAAATACCTGTGCCTTCCCGTCCCCAACCCCTTCTCTCTCCCTCTCTTGTTTTTCTTCTCCGTCTCTCTCTCTCTCTCTCTCTCTCTCTCTCTTGTTTTCTCTCTGTTTTCAGGTTTGCAGCCTCAGGACAAAAGCAAGGATCTGTACTGGTTTTAGACAGCCCACCTTCTTCCCTGTAGGTCTCTGCATAGCGCACTTGATGGCACTCAGCTGAAATCGAGTGGGTTTGTAACAGCTTCTGATCTTGGTTTGCAGCTCGTCGCTATTCCCTCTGTGGTGCATCCCTCCTGAGCTGATCTGCTGACCCAGGGTTTCCCCTTCCCTTTCCCTTCTGACCAGCCGTGGAGGCTCAGCATCTGTGCCTCTCACTTCATGGATGAGGACATGGGGGAAGGCAGAGACTTCAAACTTCTCCGTGTATTGGGAAAACCAAAACACACATCTACAGAAATATTGTCAAACCATAATTCCTTCTGTGGAAAGAGCAGATCCAAAGACTGAATTATGTTGAATGACTTTTGGGCACATCACTGGAAATATCTGCGGTGAGGTCACTTAGATGATACGATGTCATAAATTTTCCTGGAAAGAGGAGGAAAAAAAGAGACTTTTTGGTGTGAATATTTTTTATGCTGATGTGAATTATTTCATTAAGTAGTGTGGCCGTAGCACTACGGATGTCAGTATCCTCACATTTGAAATGTATTTGTATTTGCATCAAAGACTGTGGTAGAGAAGTAAAAGAGGCCAATTCCTTCTTCCTCACCTCATAGCCTCCAGTTCCCTTCCTGCCAGCTCCCTCGCTGCAATACCCACTCCAGACACAAAGACACACTTTTTTCCTTTGGACTGTGAACATGGAAGCCTCAGCCTAAATGTGAGTGGCAAGTGGCTTATCTGGAGCCACCTGCCCAAGTCTTACTGAAATGCAGCTGTTGTAGGACAACTGTTTAAAACTCCAGAAATACATCGACCAAGGTGGCACTTCCCAGTGTTTGGCACAACAATTGCAATTTCACTGGATATATTTTATATGTGTGTGTGTGTGTAGATATATATCATATTTTTTACGAGGAACGTTTTACGATGAAAGAAGAAACCCTTTTCTGCCTTCTCTCCCACAAATTCTGCCTCTCCTTCTATCCTCCTCTGGATGAAAAGAAGCAACAAGAGATCCCCAACTGTCTCTATGAAGAACTAGGAATCACCACAAGGGGAAGAAATGTCCATGGAGTCTCTAATACCTCGAATATTCCTCTCAGTCTCTATGGTCATGATTTGGGCACTTCAGTTTTGGGACAGGGGAAGGGGTCTGTGCGTGGGCAAAATTGAAGGTGATGAGGAAGAAGGAACAAACATTAAAGATGTCTCTTTACTACAAGGTAACTGTGTTATTTCATAAGAAGAAAATAAATGTCCTAGTCTTTCTCCAGTAGAATAAAATAATTTATAGTAGTACAATCTGATGTCAGTAAGTACCATTACTTTATATGTAGAGTGCTCTGTGTTTTTCCAAAGTGTTTGCCATTCTGTGAAAGCTGATAACTCTTTTCCACTTCCCATCAACCCTGGAGGTGAGAAGTTAGGTAGCCCACCTCTGTTTCACAAATGAGAAAATTGTGGCCCACGGAAGCCCAGGGCTTATCTGTCAGCATTCACTGGGTTAAAAGCAGAGATGGTGCTGAAAAGGCTACCTGTGCACCATTCAGTCAGGTACATTATTATTGTTACTTTGTAAATTCTAGACTCTTAAAACAGTATTCAGTTAAAAGGTGTTTTGGGAATATTGGTTATATTATATTTTAATAAGGTAGGCTACGAAACCAAACCTACCAGGAGGAAGAAAAAAAAAAGGAAAAGCGAGAGAGAGAGAGAGAGAGAGAGAGAGAGAGATTATTTAAGAAATTAGTGGTCTTTCTCTTAATTTTCTCTTGATGCCAAAGTTGCGTTCACTCACTTCATTCACTAAAATGCCCAAGGGAGAGATTTTGTGTTATGTTCCAATTGCCCTTGCAGACTCTGAAAACATAAAAAGATGAGTTCAAACACTGACCTCCATTGTAACGTGAGAAACAAATTTATCTTGGAGGATCATCTCAGGAGTTGGGGCGGTAAGGGACCCTACTCAGTGTACGGCTTAGGGGAGTTACCCAGCCCCTCTTTCCATCATTATGGTCATCACAAGAACCTATCACTGGTGTTGCTCATACAGAAGGTACTCTCTGGTCATGGTGCCCAGATGTGATAACACTCATAACAACTAATGCTGTTTCTCAGGCACCGGTCTGAGGGCTTTGCATGCAGGTTAACTCATTTAAGTCTCACAACAATTCTATGTTATATTTATTATCATGATCCCCTTCTTACTGACGAGACAACAGAGGCTCACAGAGGAGAAATAATTTGCCCAGCCACACAGCCATTAAATGGCAGAGCCAGGGTTCCAACCCACTGCGGTAACTACTACTTGCCCTCTTCTAATTTGTCTTCAGTGGCTCAACTTTGGGTCCGCTTTGCCCTCCACAGTAGATGAATAAGGAAGGGAAGGAGGCAGGGCAGCCAAGGATGACACATCATAGAACTTACAAAATCCCTGGTCTCAAAGGAACTATCCTAAGACATTTTCACACCCTTTCATCAAATGATACTAACTATAGACCATTCAGTCAGAGGCAGATTTCCATTCTCCTCCAGGAGGCAATTCTTATTGCTTCTCTTATTAATTCACTTCAGTATTTTCCAGACTTCACTGCTCTGAAGCTCCTCACACCCAACCCGACCAAGTCGTGTCAGAGTTAGCCTGAGGTTTGGACATTGAAGCAATAACTAAAATTAACTTTGGACTTCTCTGTGGATTTTTTTAATCCATGTTCCATTGGCACGGATCACTGGTATATACAAGCATAAATAAAATGCATTAAGTTCCGGCTCGCTTTTTAGAATTTGCCGCTGAGTATGCAGTTAGGGAAGGAAGCACGGTAGTGCGTTCTTTGCTGGACATGGTCTCCAAGTGTCCCCACTGGAAGAGGCTGTGCCCGTGCCCCACTGCGACAGCGCTCACAGGATCTCTGATCAGAACCCACAGGGAGCACTTTCCCAGCCACGGGCCCCTGGTTACTGAAACCTCTCTCCTGAGCTGCATCTGACCTGAATATCAGGTTGCCGGTGAGGAGACTCATTCACTGGAACTGGCCTTTGGGGCAGTCCTGAACAGACCATCCAGACTCCAGCGACCTGGCACATAGGACACACGGATCACAGCATTTTCCTCCGTGTTGTATGTTCCCAAAGTAGAAATGCACAATAACCTAGAACTATAATGATTCTGTCCGTGTAATAAGAGCATCAAAGAGAACCTCGGTGAAAGAAGAGTCCTGACTGACAGGCGGTAGGCCCACCAAACCCACGCAAAATACGAATTCCCATGCCTGTCATTAATTTTCATGAAATGATGCAGCTTTGAGAAGGCAAACTAGTGGTTGACAAAAGGACATTCAAGGGAATGAAAGATGACAGGAGACAAGGCAGACATGACGTTTTCACGTGTGTTACACCTGGTTGGGAGCCCGAGGGAAAGATAAGCTTCTGCTCCCCTCATCCCCGCTGGCACTGGCGGCCTCCTCACGCACTCTTCCCTCCGCGCTTGGCCTCCGCTGAGCCAGAGGTGATGAAAAGGGGAGAGACAGCTCTGCGCCACCAAGTAATCCTTTTGCCGATTGCCCTCTGGCTGAGAACTCAGTCACCCAGCTTCAGGGAACTCTATCTGTTCTACTCCTTTAGTTTAAAAGGAGTTTCCAGCCTGTCTCATTTCCCCCTTTGAAGTTCTATTTCAATGTGTGGCAAATTCTAGCAATGACTTAAGATTGATTTGGGCCTGGATGGGAAGGAGGGCAGAGGTGGTGGATGTGAGGACTTAGATCCCCTGACTGGAAGCTTCTCTTGACACTCTTTCTGGGTAAGTACTGCACTTTCTGTGCTCATTTTTATCTGAGGAAACAACTCTTAAGATCAATTTAACCTCCAGTTTGCTCAGAATCATAAACCCTGCATTCATGTGCAGACACCCATAACCCTCCTATCGAAATAAACAAGAATTTTTTTTAACACGTAGCGATTGATCACTGTGGGGTTGGAGGAGATAAAAAAAAAAAAAATTAATACAACTTAGACAAACTGCTTTCCGTATAAATGCTTTTTCTGTAAATTGCACTTTAATTTTTTTTTTAAGTTTATTTACTTTGAGAGAGAGACGGAGAGAAAGCAAGCAGGGGAGGAGCAGAGAGAGGGAGAGACAGAATCCCAA